AAAACCTGAGAATTCATTGTAGAACATGTTGATACTCTCTTTATGTATCTCATGTTCCTTATTGAGGGCTGTACTGGTTGTTAATTTATTGCCACTCTACTCCAAACTCATCCATCATTATAGGCTCAGTGATAATGAACATAATTTCTTGTTTTCCTTTAAAGTCTGCACTATGTTACATTTTTCAGTAGAGGTCCCTGGAGGAACCTACAGGAGGAAGGAACTCTCTTGCAACTTCCAGCTACTGCTTGGAGGGTTAGAAGAGTGGGTGTGAGGGCATCCTGTGTGGTGCTGCCCCAGCTACACACCCATGAACTTGCTGGCTTATCTTTGAAATAATCTTCCCATGGCCTTCTCAGTATGGAAACAAGCACCCTGAAGGCTTACTGCCTTTCTCAGTACCCCCATCCCCTCTGCAGACCCTCACTCTACCTGTGCTTAATCCACCTGAGGCTTGCATGGTTGTTCCATCTTGTCCATTGACTGCAGACCAGCTGTACCTGGAAAAACCAGTAAATCTCTCTCATGTCAAAGGGACTGAACTACACCTTCTCCAATGAGGTCTGCAACCCAGCCTTGGGGATCAACCTTCCAAGAGTTATTATTATTTTTTTTTTTNGGATATTTCTCTCACATGGTCAGTCACTTTTTCAGTTTGGAAGTAGACAGAAAGACAGGCATGAAGATATACAACCTCCCACGCACCTTCACAAAAAGAAAGACCCTGTCTCTCCTACTTACGGCTATTAAAAGAGACCATGTATGGAAAAGTCCACTTGGACAGGCATGAGCTGTAGTGATGATGGTGGTGATAGCCTACTGTAGGCTCTAACCTTAGCTTAGGGAGAACAGAGCAGGAAATTTAAGCAGAACAGCAGAGCTTTCTAATGCCAAAGAAATAATATGGCCAAGTTAAAGTAGTTTGTTTGCCAAACTTGGAAGTAATCTGTTGGCAGTCAAGGTCTCTGAATATCCAGAAAAAATGAGACTTAACTGTTGGAAGGTCTTTGCTTGAGAAAATTAACATTGGCATGCTGTATATTTGACTTGCAGTTCTGAACTTAGGGCATGGGTGAAGATTCTGCTAGCTTCTAAATCAGTGATTCCCAAATTGTGGTCACTGACCAGCAGCTTCAGCAGCACCTGGAAACATGTTAGAAATACAAATTATTTGGGGTTCCATCCCAGATGTATTGAATGTGAAACCATTGAGTGGGGCCCAGGAATCAAGCCCTCAGCTTGAAGTTAGAGAACCAATGCCCTTAGGCATTGTGTTATGGTATGTAACAAATTCCTCAAAATGCTAAGTGAAAAGGAAATTGGCCTGGGTTAGGTCAGGGAAGCCTTCCTGGATGAAGGGGGAATTTGAAGGAGGGCTTTGAAAAAGAGAGAGGCAGAGAGGAGAACAAGCAACTGCACTGATCAGGAGACTGGAGTGTTAGCTTCTGACTAGGTTTTCTCCTGTGCCAAATTGAGGTGATATTGTCTCACAATATTATTCTGTGGTTATCTCACAGAATTATTGTGGAGATTACGTGCATAAAAATGTGTGGCAAGCTACAATGCATTCAAAAAATGTGGGGCCTGTTATTGTTTTATGTACCACATTGCTGTCAGGTGAAGCTACTCAACTTCCTCAAGCAGCGTCAAGTTTGCTACCTAATCCACCGAACTTGTACATTTTTAGAAAATGTATGTTGAAGTTCCTACTGAAATCCTTTTGGAAATGCTTCTGCATGAATTCATAGTAGCTCTGGTTCCTCTTT